AGCAGCCTGGTCTGCAATGTTGTTGTTTAGCCGTTTAGCCGTGTCCGACTCTTCGTGACCCCCTGGACCAAAGCACGCCAGGCACTTCTGTCTTCCACTGCCTCCCGCAGTTTGGTCCAGCTCTCACTTCCATACATCACTACTGGGAAAACCATAGCTTTTACTATATGGACCTTTGTTGGCAAGGTGATGTCTCTACTTTTTAAGTGGTCTGCAATAAGGATGGATAAATCTGTCATTTTTGGTTCCCCTTGATTTCTCATCCCCCCCCAACTTAAATTCAGTTCTCTACATTTCCACATCAGTTTGTGATGATGATGGTGATGATTTTGCACTTTATTTATTTATTATTATTGTTGCAATACATATATGAAATCTTTACATATTGATACATATACATTATATCCGTAAATTCACATTTTCACATTTCATTATGTACCAACATTTATCCATTTCTTATTTCTTGCCCTGTGTCTTCCCGCCACCCGTGCGTGACTTCCTTGTTATTATTTTGTAACTTTATTATTGAGATTGTAATTTTGTATCTTAATAATTAAACATTCAATCTTATATATCTGCTTAGCTTAACTTGACTTAACTTTGTGAAATCAGTCTATACCTATCAATAAGTTCTTGTTGGAGCATCTTTTGTTCATGTATTCTTCTACACGTTTCCATTCCTGTTTGAGATTTTGATTAGATTGCATTCTAATTGTTGCCGTCATTTTTGCTAATTCAATCATTTCAAAAAGCTTATATTGCCAATCTTTTGTTGGTACTTCTTCTGATTTCTATTATTATTATTATTATTATTATTATTAGTCATCATGAACATTCGCCAGCATTTCTCCCAATGTACACATTTTGATTCATTCCCCCCCCCAATACACATGCAATTGCAATTCATTTCCCCCTAATATCGTGCATTCTTTGTACAGGTGTATGCATCTTAATGAACACGTTATCTAGCGCATGCAATTTCATGCCCATCGTTGGCTGGAGAACTGCATTGCAAAATTCAGAGAAGTGCAAATTTCAACAGATGGTTGTGTTTTGGCACACACACCATTTCAGGAAATGCAAATTCGGTAGAGTCATCTTTCAGTGCAAACTGACCCAGATTTCTCCCCCATCCCTAGGTGGCAGTAGGGCTGCTGCCCACGAACACACCCCCATGTAACTGGTGGCATACTTGGTATGGGCTATAGGTGTGTTCTGCCTTTAAGTTTTTATAACAGATCACAATCCTCTTCTGTGCTGGACTGTGTGCTTCAATGAACCAAGAGGTCCAGAGGTTGCAATTGTGAGGCATGCTGCTTTGTTGTGTTGTATCCAGAGCAGGACCAACAGAATACGGCTTGCACTGCATCACTTCCATTTCCTCTCCTCTGGAGCTGATCTTGAGAGCACAGAACCTGCAGAGAAGTGGAGAGCAGGAAACAGTTTCATTCTCCCAGTGCACATGCCTTGAACTAGAGGAATGGGAGCATTAGATACTGCCCATTATGTCTGCTGATGTTGTTGTTATTTTGGGACTCATGCAAATGTATAGAATATAGAGGGCTGAAGGGCACTGTTGGCATTTGATGGCATACAGAATGTTTGATGTTGTTGCCCTTCAGCCCTCTATATTGGACAAACAGGCCAAACCCTATGCCAAAGGATAAATGGACATAAATCTGATATCAGTAATCACAAGACAGAGAAACCAGTAGGAGAACACTTCAATCTCCCAGGACATTCTATACAAGATCTCAAAGGAGCTGTCTTATTACAAAAGAATTTCAGAAATAGAGTGGAAAAAGAAGTTGCTGAATTGCAACTTATTACCAAACGTAAAACCATGGAGAGACCTGGTCTGAATAGAGACATTGGATTCTTATCTCATTATACATGATAAATCTATTTTTAGCCATCTCACCCCTTGCTTTTTCCTGTAAGACCAATTGCAGTCGTTAACAGTCGTCAACAGGTTTACCACACCTATCAGCCAGTCACCCATTCCCACCACCCTTCTGAGTAATACCCCTCCCCACCCTCTCACTATATATAAGGGTCTGGTGACTTCTTTTTCAGTGTATCTGAAGAAGTGTGCATGCACACGAAAGCTCATACCAATAACAAACTTAGTTGGTCTCTAAGGTGCTACTGGAATTAATTTGTTTGTTTGTTTGTTTCGACTACGGCAGACCAACACGGCTACCTACCTGTAACTAGACTATGGATAGTTATAGTTTGACATTTGTTTCTTTCCTATGTGTTAAAAAGTCAGGGTCGTCTGGTGACACTGATTGGCTATTCATTCAGGATGATCAAAAAGAAAAAAAATCTTCTCACCTCGATTATGTCCCTTCTTTGCTTGCCATTTTTTTCTAAACTAGGTGGTTGGGGGGGCATTGTAGAGGTGTGTAAAATTATATGTGGTGTAAAAGGTGAAGGTAAAGGGACCCCTGACCATTAGGTCTAGTCGTGGCCGACTCTGGAGTTGCTGTGCTCATCTCGCTTTATTGGCCGAGGGAGCCGGTGTACATGTGGCCAGCATGACTAAGCCACTTCTGGTGAACCAGAGCAGCGCACGGAAATGCCGTTTACCTTCCCACGGGAGCGGTACCTATTTATCTACTTGCACTTTGATGTGCTTTCAAACTGCTAGGTTGGCAGGAGCAGGGACCGAGCAACGGGAGCTCACTCCGTCACGGGGATTCGAACCACCTACCTTCTGATCGGCAAGTCCTAGGCTCTGTGGCTTAACCCACAGCGCCACCTGCATCCCTATGTGTGGTGTAGAGATGGTTAAATAGAGAGGGTTTTTTTAACCCTCTCATAACTCTAGAACCAGGAGTCGTCCAACGAAGCTGAATGTTGGGGAGTCAGGAAATATAATTCATTTACTCACACACCATGTAGTTAAAGCATGGAATTTGCCTCAAAAACATCTTTAATTAATTAATTAAATTTATATGCCACCCTTCATCAAAAGATCTCAGGGCTGTTCAAAGAGTAAAATACAAAACAAGTATATAATTAAACCAAAACAACCAAACAATACCCCCTCCTTCCCACAGACATATTTAAAAGGCTGTAAAATTTTAAGCAACCAAAGGCCTGGTTGAAGAGGAACATTTTCGCCTGGTGCCTAAAATATATATAATGAAGGATGCAGGTGAACCTCCCTGGGGAGAGTATTCTACAAATGGGGAGCCACTACAGAAAAGGCCCGTTCTTGTGCGGTCACCCTCTGGACCTCACATGGAGGATGCACATGAAGAAGACCCTCAGATGATGAATGCAGAGGCGGTCCTTGAGGTATGGAGGTCCTGAGCCATTGAAGGTTTTATAGGAGCAAACCAGCACTTTGAATTGCAATTTGTGTGGATATAAAAGTGGAGGGTCATGGAGGATGAAGCTATCAACGGGTAGTTTTCCTGTGTCCGAGGCTGAGTGCTAGTTGCTGGGAGAATGCAAGTGAGGAGAGTGTTGTTGTGCTCAGATCCTGCTTCAAGGCATCTGCTTGGGCACTGTAGGAACAGATGAGCCTTGGGCCTGATCCAGCAGAGCTCCTCTCATCTCCTTATTTATCAATTTTGAATTGCCACTTGGGAGTGGGGTTGGTCATTAGCTTAGACAGCTTTCAAAGATGGTACATGGGTGAGGGGAGTTGAGCCTTCTCCTACATTACTATGATCTGGTTTCAAAAATATGATCCTAGGAACTATAGTATGGCCGTCTTTGGCGATCATTCATAGCCAAGTATGTTTGTCTTCCATGAATATGGTCTTAAAAGTGAGGCTGTGACTGTGGAGGCCAATTCTGGATCCACACGTCCTTCCACAGTGAGGACATAGGTTTCTGGGCAGGAGTTGATCACAGTGTGGATTTCCCAAGCGTGCCTTCCTCTTAGCACGTTTCTCCCTTGAATTCTGAGTTCAAGTGTCTTCAAAGCCCATGATGCCTTTGGTAAAGGCTGTTCTCCAACTGGAGCACTCGCAGGCCAGTGTTTCCCAATTGTTGATGTGTAAATTTTTTCAGAGACACCATTGATGGAATCTTTTGAGGAGTTGGAGATGGCGTTTATAAGTGGCCCATGTTTCACAACGGCCCTAGGAGCTATAGAGGCAGTGCAGTCCAGAACCGTACGCCTCATTCTGTGTAATGTTTACAATGGCTCTTTATGCAGCAGGCCTACTCTGCATGGCCAAGTGGGTGCAGAATCTCGTACTACACACACAGCAATATCAGAGCAATCTGTACACTCCAGGGTGAAAGGCCTGCCACAAAATATTGGGGCTGATATCATTTTGAAGGAAGCATTAAGCAACGAGACAGATTTCCTCCCCGCACTGAGGGCAACGGCTAATTATTCAGTGTCCTTTGGACCGGGGTATCTCATAGTTCACAACTAAAGGTTGAGAAGATAAATTTGTTTTCTCCTTTATGTGGGTTTGATCGAGCGACTATCGAGTGTGAGAAAATGATGGTGCCACCCAATGCGAGCAGTTGAAGCTCTGATGAAATGGCTGAGGGAGCAGTTTATCAGCGTTTGTTTAGCTCTGGAAAATAAAATATGTGAGCTACATTTGAATGGGACACTCCATCCACGGGAATCGTGTGTTCCATCACTCCGACAAAGCAGGAACGCTTTCCGCAGATAATATATAAAAGAGGCATTGTAGTGTAACAATATCTGCATGTTGCTTAGCAGTGGGTGGTCTGGTGTGTGTCCCCCGCCCCCCTTGGATACATTATTGATTCTGTATAACAAGAGCTGTTTCAACTCTGCTGCAGGTGTGTGTGTGTGTGTGTGTATCATGTACCTCTAACATGCCGGCTTTATGATCCGCCACCTTAGGATGCGCATATCTGTCAATTGCAGTTACTCCTAGCTTCCCATTTTCCCAACTTTTGCTTTACCACACGCCGTATTTTTCGCTCCATAAGACACACTTTTTTCCTCCTAAAAAGTAAGGGGAAATGTGAATGTATCTTATGGAGTGAATGGTGCTACGCAGAGAGGTAGAGCTGCGCAGCGCCCCTTCAGTAAAGCAGGAGGAGGAACGGAGCCCCTTCTGTTCCTCCTCCCGCTTCTCTGAAGGAGCGCTGCGCAGCTCTCCCTCTCTGTGCAGCGCCTGTCCTGGAAGCCAGAGGAGGAAGTGAAGGGTCTCCTTCTGTTCTTTCTCCAGCTTTGCTGAAGGGGCGCTGCGCAGTTCTCCCTCTCTGCGCAGCGCCCCTTCAGCGACGTGCCTGTCCTGGCTTCTGCCTTAGCCGTGTGCAGCCTCTTCGGGCAGCGGGAGCCTTCATCCCACTGCCCTGAAGAGGCTTGGTGTGGTTATCCCAGAAGCCAGAACAGCCACACGGTACCCCAGAAGCCAGATCCCTCTAGCTGTTCTGGCTTCTGGGATTCAGAATAATTTTTTCTTGTTTTTCTCCTCCCAAAACTAGGTGTGCCTTATGGTCTGGTGCATCTTTTGGAGCGAAAAATACGGTACATATTATTTTTTAAGTCCTCACGGAAATTTGTCAGCATTTTTATGTACAGTTCTCTTAACGTACACATTTTTGGAATGCAATTTCCCTCATGCAAACATTTTTGAAAGCAACTTTCCCTGATCTAATGCACTTCATATATTTTCACTAATGAATGCAATTTTTTATGCACAGTTTTCTCTATAAACACCATCTCTATTGTATTTTCAGTGTCAATCCAAGGCCTTCCCATTTCAACAAACCTTTTAAGGGTGTGTGTTTTTTGTCCTAGTGTGTATTTGAAATCACCCACCCCCCCGAAATTGTTTCAGTTTGTTTTTAATATTGGAAATGCTTTCTGTGGTTTTTTTTATTGTTGATACTTTTATTTTCAAATTGCCTTGATACGTTTCACAGGAAGTGCTTCATAAATAGAATGAAATCAATCAATATTAAATAAATATTACAAATATTACTTCTTTTTGCTGTTGGGGAACAACATCACAAAATTCAGAGAAGTGTTCAGTTTTCAAGGATAGCTGTGTTTTGGTTCACACATTCAGGAAGCATAAATTCACATCACCAGGTAAACAAAACCAACTGCCCCCCTCCGCATTTCCACCTGTGAACAATATACAAAATTTCCCTCAATATACAAACTTCTGTACATTAAATAAGAAATTTACTGCTGTAAGATGCAGCGATGGCTCCAACAGGTCAGATTGCTTGCTTAAAAATGGAATAAGACAATTAATGGAGAAATGAACAATCACGATCTATCAGCTTTGATATCTGATGGAAATCTCCATATTCAAAGATGGTACATCTCTGAATGCCAATCACCAATATTAGGAGGTGTTTTGGGGGGAGACTGAACCCCAAATCCTTTGTTCTAAGCCTGAGATCTCATGCCCCTTTCCTTACATTTATATAATAATAATAATATTAATATTAGTAATAATAATAATAATTCCTACTTTGCTTTCAGGACTGGAAACCTCACCCACCCAGTTCCTGAACTCCTGGTTCTAGAGCAGAGAGATTAGAGCTTCACAGGTACAGTTCCAACATTGAAATGTACCCCTCACCCAAAACTGGAGAAATGGAGTGGGCGGCGCTGTGGTCTAAACCACTGAGCCTCTTGGGCTTGCTGATCAAAAGGTTGGTGGTTTGAATCTATGTGACTGGGTGAGCTCCCGTTGCTCTGCCCCAGCTCCTGCCAACCTAGCAGTTCGAAAGCACGTCAAAGTGCTGCAGTGGGAAGGTAAATGGCATTTCCATGTGCTCTGGCACTCGTCATGGTGTCCCGTTGTCCCAGGAGCAGTTTAGCCATGCTAGCCACATGACCCAGAAAGCTGTTTGTGGACAAATACCGGCTCCCTCGGCCTAAAAAGTGAGATGAGTGTTGCAACCCCATGGTTGCCTTTGACTGGGCTTAACCGTCCAGCGGTCCTTTTTTCAAGCAGCAATGCATAGATGCAATGTGGATACAGTTGGTATGAGCCATGTGGCATTTCAGGAAGAGATATTTTGTGAATAGTGGCTCTCAAAACAAATGAATGCCTAATGCAGTGGAGAGGTATCTGGGACCCTCAGATGTTGCTGTTCTCCTATCAGCTCTAGCCAGTGTGGCCGATGGGAAAGGACTGTGGCCCAGGGGTAGGTCATCTGTCTTGCCTGCAGAAGGTCACAGGTTCAATCCCAACATCTCAAGATAGGGCTAGGGGAGAACTCCTCTGGATACCCTGGAGAACCACCACCACTCATTGTGGACAATATGCTCAGCTTCGGCTGATGGGAGTTGTAGTCCAGCAATATCTAGAAGGGCCGAAGTTCCCCCGTAGAGTATATGCTTTACAACAAGTTTGTAAGGTGGGACAAGAAGTGTGTAAGGTGGTATCCGTGGGATGGTATGTGTGAATCACTTTTGAAGACTCTTAAGAGCTGTTTACACAGATAAAAATGCTATGGAATTCATAGAGGGACACAAGACAGGTGTAAGAGGGACTTAAAAGACCTCATTGCTATGGCCTTAGCAAGGAATTTGACGGAAATAACATCAAACTAGTATTTTAGCCTGGTTTTGCCATTTTAATTCAAATCAGGCTTGGCCCTTTTCGGGTTTTGGTAATGTTTGAGATTTTTTTTCCCCTCTGTGTTTTATATAGTTTTCAGTGGTATTTTATTGTACATTTGACAAGGCTTTCAAATCCGCTTTGGGAATATTTGTTTCTTTTAAGGCAGTATACAAATTAACATGTGTGTGTGTGTGTGTCTGTGTGTGTGTGTGTGTGTCCATTCAACCTTATGTACTCACAGCTCAGCTCTTAATCCTTGAACTGAGGTGCCCAGAACTGAATACATCATTCCTAATTGTAATTAATTAATTAAAATCTATGCAAATTAAAATTGCCTAGCATTGCCATGTGGTAATTTGTGATGCAACACCCTGGATGATGCAATGGGAGGCTGGGTTCAGGGCCACAAACAGTGAAGCGAGGACCAGATTGCCAAAGAATGAGATAGGAAGCAATCCAGCTAATGGGGCAGCAACAGCTGATCTTTTGTTATGTTCTCTTTTCTGGGGATTGGAGTTTTATGAGGAGAGACGCACTGGTCTGGCTTTGGCAGAGAACATGGAAAAGGGGAGGTCAAGGACAAGGTGGGGAGCTGACGTTAATGATGCTCGTGAGAAGTTTGTTGTTGTTTAGTCGTTTAGTCGTGTCCGACTCTTCGTGACCCCATGGACCAGAGCAGCCAGGCTCTTTAAACCCAAAAGAGGTTTAAAGACTTTCTCAAGGCAAATCTTTAAAAATGTAGTATAAACACCAACAATTGGGAAACACTGGCCTGCGAGCGCTCCAGTTGGAGAACAGCCTTTACCAAAGGTGTCATGGGCTTTGAAGACACTCAAACTCAGGAATCAAGGGAGAAATGTGCTAAGAGGAAGGCACGCTTGGCAAATCCACACCGCGATCAACTCCCGTCCAGAAACCAATGTCCTCACTGGATGTGTGGATCCAGATTTGGCCTCCACAGTCACTTACGGACTCACTGTTAAACCATGATTATGGAAGACAATCTTACTCAGCTACAAGGGATCACCAAAGAAAGACACAGCATCAATTGCAGAACATTCCATTGCATACAGTATCGCAGTTGCAGTACATGGGGTTGGCACTGGAGATTAACACCTGTTAGTTACTACCTAGGTGAGATTTCTATACAGTTTAAGAACATAAGAACACAGAGGTGCCAAGTTGCGAGAGAGACTGAGGGGGGCAACATTGCATGTGATTTTGCATGTGTGGCATCCTGATGTTTTCTCAGGACATTGGGAGGAGCCAGGGGGTGGAATGCAATGGCAGCGAGGCTTCAGTGACCAGCGACTTCTTTTACAGCTGCCATAATCTGCGGGCTGTGTCTCCCTTCCTTCTCCTCCATGGCAGGAGGAGGAAAAGAAGGAGCCAGCTACAGAAGCCATGACAATATCAGCTCCACACTTGGTTTTTTGGGGAACATGTGGGAATACCCCCCGTTAAAATTATTGGGGAGGCAGGAGTTGACACTCTTGTAAGAAAGCCACTTCCGCCCTACAGAGGAGGTGGGGTTGTGGGCATCACAGCCCAGCCCCCGCGTGATTGGGGGAATCCCTGGCCGTGTTACCCCCTGGCCAGCCAATCAGCTGGCTCTAGGGGCGTGGCCTGCCCTATTTAAGGCAGGCGCAGCTGGGGATCTCGCTCTTTTGCTGCCTACCAGCTAGGACCAATGCCTAAGCCAATACCGCTCATCACCTGTAACCAATAAAGTTGTGGCATTATTTAGCCCATTACCCTTAATAATTGTGTCACGTGTCTTTATTTCCACTGGCGGCCGGGGGTGGGGTGGGGACTCACCACGCAACATAATCGACAAGTTCCTCTTACTCTTGTTCTCTTCCTCCTTCTTCCAGTTTGCTACCCATCCTTCTCCACAAGGTCTCAGGGCGGGTTACAGCACTTTAAAATACAATATTTTATATCCAGAGGAGGGCAACCAAAATGGTCAAAGGCCAAAGGAGTGTGGTGGAGTCTCCTTCTTTGGAGGTCTTTAAGCAGAGGCTTGACAACCATATGTCAGGAGTGCTCTGATGGTTTTTCCTGCTTGGCAGGGGGTTGTACTCGATGGCCCTTTTGGTCTCTTCCAACTCTATGATTCTATGATTCTATGATTCTATTCTATGATTCTAATATCAAAAGGTTGTATAACTTCAGTCACAAGAATGGGATGCATCCTAAAAACATATTTCTTAGATGTCAGCAGCCAGGGCGATGAGGTGCTTCTGGTGCTTCTGACATAAACTGCCTAATGAAGTTGCCAGATGCGTCTCTGTGCGAGAGGAATTCCACAACTTAAAACCATTCTGGGCTACCTAAGTTGCATATACTTTTGCTTTTAACCTTTCTGCTTTTTCTTTTTCTACAGCAGGTTCGCGCTGGCTCCTCAGCTGACTCCTCTGCCTCCCACACTTCCTGGGACAATGTTTTTTGGAAGTTGTTGCATGAGGACATCTTCTAAAGGGATTACCAGAGGTGTGGTTGTTCAGGCAGCTGCTTGCAGAGTTCTGGAGAGAGCCAAAGGATTTGGTTATAAATGAAAGCAATGGAAGAAAGAAAGAAAGA